ATACTGTTGATTTAAAAAAAAAAAAAACACTTATTTTTTTCCTAATTTCTCAGAATAAATTCAACAAAGGATACGTGAAATAATCTGTTTATGTAGTAGTCACTATAGTATTTAAAAGTTAATATATTCCGTATAGAAGGACAGTATCTGTATATCAAAGAGGAAAAAAATGAAAAGAATTGAAAATCAGCATAAGCTATTTCAGAGTTCTGACAATATTATTTCTATTTTTGAGTGGGTAGTTTTGGATAGTTTAAAAAGACATTCACGCACATTGTTTTTCTATCTAAATAATAACCACTCCTAACTAATTTTTTTAGATTACTACAATTTACACCTTTTTTTCATATATGCCGTAATACTGTACCATTTTATTCACTATTAGTTGCCCAAATTATAACATAAGGAGAAACAAATTCTAAACTAAATGACTGACTAATAATGAAATATACAAAATTTCATTTGCGGTTTCAAATACCAAATTACTAGAACATTTGGTAAAATCGCAGAATAGGTGCCGTAGGGATTTGGCGTCAAAAAATTTCTTCGCCATAGTGCGCCAAGTAAGGAGTTGCGATTATAAGCGTAGTGAATTGCAAACAGTACAAGAAACCAGGTTACCACATTTGGCGACTTACAGCCACAAAAAAGTTGCCAAATATCAACGACCCTTATTTTGCGATTTGGCCAACATTTTTACTTGTAATCATCATTCACGTGTTATTTCTTCTGAAACTACGAGACAACTTTCTTGCGTAGACCCTCCTAAATTTTGCCAATCAAGCGATGGTGTTTTCCACTTCAATATCAGCAAAAATTTAGGAAGTACGATTTTAAGTAAAAAAAATGGGAAAGTCACTGAGTACTGGATCGGGATTGAAAAAATGATATAGTGGTTAAACAGTTCTGATCGGATATTTTGAATTATCTAGATAATACAAATATGAGTACTTTTCCTCCACTTATTATTGACAAATCATGAATGGCACAGAAATATCAATCAGTTGATGTCCTTTTAGGTAAAGAAAGCAAATCTTCACAATAGTGGGGACTTTATAGTATATTAACCAATGAAACTATTCGTTATGTTATACCAGTTGAACGAACTATGACTACCTGACCACATGCGCAAAAAACAAGTATATACGATTGAATAAAACAACAACAGAAAGGTATTTAATTTACAACAGAATGGTAATTTGGTGACAAAATGGTGATTTAACTTGCATCAGAATGGTGATTTGTGTACTCTTTACTGAAGAGCCAAAGAAACCATATCTTGATCACACGGATTTTATTATGGTACTTTTAGATTTTAAAATTTTTTATCCTTAGAACATTTAAATTTTTTATCCTTAGAACATTTAAATTGTTTTTAATTGTTTTTAAGGCCTTTCGGTCGTTTTTTATTAAGAAGAGCCTGGTTTGTCCTTTTGTAATTTTGACTTCTTATATGTTCTTTTTGTTTCTACATTAAGTGGTCAAAATTATATAGATTAATTCCAATGAAGCCATAGGTAACAACAACGATTAAGCAAACACGAATTTTCTATGTTGCCAGTCCAGAATTTCTAAAGAATCTTCCCTTTTTTTTTTAATGTACCTTATGTATAAGATGAAATAAAACTAGCATGACAAAAAAAAACTTTTTAATGATCTTACTGAACGAGGAAATCAAATATAAGTTACATAAAATACTTTAAATATTAATAGCAAATTGGTTTTTATATCTATTTTTAAATATAATGTTACACATAAATTTATTATTTATTAATTTACATCAACGAAATGGTTAGATTAAGAAAATAAACTATTTGTACCTGATTTACAGTAACTAAAAATACACTCAGGAGAACCTAATTTTTAACTTTAAGTCACGGAATAAAACATGAAAGATGCATATCATTTATTAGAAAGCAGAAATATTTTCCATTTTTGTCGTATTTATTTATTTTTTCATTTCTTTTTCTTTTTATTTAATGTTCCATATAAAATAAGAAAAACGAGAATCAGTATTCCCCAAACTAATAAAGAAATTGCAGAAAAAAAGAAAAGCTAGGCTCTTTAGAAATAATAAAAAGGATACAGAAGCAAGTAAAAATATCTGCATATCTCTCTTGGGAGAAACGAAAGGTAGATCTTTTTCCTTACATATAAGTACAGTAGGAAGAAAATTATAGCTTACGAAATTTATGGCCTAGGTCTTTTTAGCACATATAATAAAATATTTAAGGGTGTTTTTTTGTTCATTGCATAAAATTTTAATGCAATATTTTATTAATGTTAATTTGTTTTATAGTTTTCACAGTTTGTAATGATTTTATTTCTTAAAATTTGTTATCTCATTAACAGAAATCGAATTTAATGAAATCCTTAGAATTCAATTATCCATTTTTTAGATGCTATTGATTAAAATGCATTTTTCACCTAAAGTTCCAAATTTATTATTAAAAAGCCTTTTGGTCATTTTTATTGAGTATGCCTGGTATGTTCCTTTTGTATTTTTGACTTTTTATATGTTCTTTTGTTTCTGCATTAAGTAGTCAAATTTATAAAGATTGAATTCCAATAAAGCCATATGTTACAAACAACGATTGAGCAAACACGATTTTACTAATGTTGCAACTCAAATTTCTAAATAATCTGCATTTTTAATGAACCATATATATATGATGAAAGAAAAATATCATGACAAAAATAAGCTTTTTAATGATTTTACTAAACAAGAAACTAAAATATAAGTTACACAGAATACTTTAAATATAAATAGTAAGTTGATTTTTATATCTAATTTTATTAAATATTTTTTTGTTCTAATACAGCTGGCAAACACTTAGACAGCTTGGTCTTGGATGCCTTAAGGCAAGCGCTGCACAGACGTTACTCACTTTGCATTACCCAGGGGGCGCGTGTAACTTGAAGATAAGCCACGGACGCGGAGTAACAATGCCCCCGCAACGCTCTACGATCCTATTAGACCGGGACCTACGGTTTAAAAGTGGATTCGAACCACTACAAACATCCATGGCACCGCCGAGACTCGAACCCGAAACCTGTAGTACCGTGTGCCAGAGCGCTAGCCACTCGGCCATTCAGGCCCCAATTTTATTAAATATACTGTTATACATAATTTTAATTATTTATTAATTTACGTCAACGAAATGGTTAGATTAAGAAAATAAACTATTTGTACCTGATTTACAGTAACTAAAATACACTCAGGAGAACCTAATTTTTAACTTTAAGTCACGGAATAAAACATAAAGATGCATAACATCATTTATTGAAGCAGAAATATTTTCCATTTTTGTCGTTTTTTTATTTATTTTTCATTTCTTTCATTTTTATTTAATGTTCCATATAAAATAAGAAAAACGAGAATCAGTATTCCCCAAACTAATAAAGAAATTGCAAAAAAAAAGAAAAGCTAGGCTCTTTAGAAATAATAAAAATGATACAGAAGCAAGTAAAAATATCTGCATATCTCTCAAGGGAGATACGAAAGGTAGATCTTTTTTTTTTACACATAAGTACAGTAGGAAGAACATTATAGCTTACGAAATTTATGGCCTAGATCTTTTTAGCATATATAATAAAATATTTAAGGGTGTTTTTTTTTCATTGCATAAAATTTTAATGCAATATTTTATTAATGTTAATTTGTTTTATAGTTTTCACAGTTTGTAATGATTTCATTTCTTAAAATTTGTTATCTCATAAAAAGAAATCGAATTTATTGAAACCCTTAAAATTCAATTACCCATTCTTTTTAGATGTTATTGCTTAAAACAGATTTTTACCTAAAGTTCAAATTTATTTAAAAAAAAAAAAAGACAAAAATTTCTAAATTAATTATTATCTTCGTTGGTAAATATTTTGTTAAACAAGTGATAAATATTCTGATTTGTATTTCATGGATTTTTTTAATGCAGAACATATTTATGTAATTCTGCATCCAATCAGAAATTTACAATGATCCAGTACCTTAAACATAGTAAACATCTTTTAAAACTTATTTTTGTCTGTAAAGAAAGATTTAAAAGAATTTAATCAATTCACAGGTTTTACATTTTGGAGCAATAATTGCTAATTATTGTTGATTATCAAGAGCTATAAATCTGAATGATCTCCTAGTTAAATTATGATTGAAGTTGTTTATTTTATATATCTTGAAGCAATGAACACTAATAATTATTGATTATCAGGAGATATAAATCTGATCTGATGATCTGATGTTTATGATTGAAGTTGTTTATTTTTTATATTTTGAATTGTGATTGAAACAATCACTAATAATCACTAATAATTTAAATTATCAAGAACCACAAATCTTCATAATCTACTAGTTAACTTATGATTGAAGTTGTTTATTGTTTATATTTTGAGCAATAATCACTGATAATTGTTGATTATCAAGACCTGTAAATCTGTATGATCTACAAGTTAAATTATGATTGAAATTGTTTTTTGTCTATATTTTGAAACAATAATTAGTAATAACTGTTAATTACAGAAACTATAAATAAGCATGATCTCTCAATTAAATTATGATTGAAGCCGCTTATTGATGAATGAAAACAGAAATATTTGTATCATAAATTATTTATTTCAGTATATATATATTAAATATGTTTATAAAATGGGACTAATAACAAACATTGATTCATTCATAAGTTTGTATGTGCAAGCGTAAATATTTTTTTAGAATGATGAATTTTTTTTTTACTATTAAACCATGAATGAATAATCAACATGATTTTTTTATATATTTATTATATTAATCTGAATCTCTTAATACCACAATTTTGTCATGGAGATTTTTTTGAGGAATTAAATATACTGAAAAACAGAAGAGAAGAAGCAGCATTCAGTTAAATTTTTAGTAGGAAAAAATGCTAGATTAAAGTTAATAAAATGTAGCTTCTTGTTCTCATGCGATTTTTTATATCTGAACATAATTTTAGAGATAAATGTACATCGTATGTACATATAAAATGCCAACGGCCATACCATGCTGAATATACCGGTTCTCGTTAGATCACCGAAGTCAAGCATCATTGGGGCAGTCGACCGGTGACCACCTGGGAACACCGCGTGCCGTTGGCATTCACAAATTTGGGACCTGAATGGTCGAGTGTCTACCGCTCTGGCACTCGGTGCCACAGGTTTCGGGTTCGAATCCCGGCGGTGCCATGGATGTTTGTAGTGGTTTGGAATCCACTTTAAGCCGTAGGTTCCAGTCTCCTATGACTGTAAGAGCGTCACGGAGCCAAAGTCAGACTTCTACCTACGGGTGCTCCATCACAACAGAAGCTGCTTCCTTCCCCTTCAATCATGAGTACGTATGGGCTCGTGGGCTTGGCCAGCCAAGTGAGATAAGAAACAACAAACACATATAAAATGTGAATTTAACATCGTCGAGAAAAAGTGCTCGTAAAAGGAAATAAAACATTACGTAGTATTTACTTGCTAATTAATTAGTTTTAAAATTTGATCTAGATTTAAATTGACGATCGTTTTGCGATGTTCATTACCAACGTTAAGTTAGAATATAATATAAAAATATGTAAAGTATATTAAATATTATTAAAATTATATGTAAAAAGTATATTACTGGATCATTGTATATAAAGTATATTATATATTAAACTAGTTGATGTGGAAACATTAAAAGATGTAGTAAAATTAGTGGAATCCTGACGCTGATGCTGAAACATCATTTTTTTTGTCATTGTAAGAAAAGTATATAAATTTTATGTATTGAGGAAACAAAATAAATGAATATAATCTACAGGGATAGATAGCCGATTAAACTGATAAAATAAATTAATTTTTAAAAATCTAACAAACAAATTGAAAATGTTTTTTTAAAATTTTAAATCCAAATAAATAGAAAAATGTACAAAATATACAAATAAAAATATATAGAAATATATACAAAATGCAAAACCGTTAAAAAACATTCAAAAAGCATTTTCAAAAAAAAAAATTAAATATTTTAAATAAATTAAATAAATAACTTTGGGGGCAAAACCTAATCAAGAGTAGAAAACTATATAATGAGCAATTAATCAATGTTATTTAGAATACTTTCTGAACTGCCAAGTATTTTTTTTTAATTAAAAACCTTTAGTTTACAAACTCGGTATATATATATATATATATATATATATATATTATTGCAAACAAAAAAGAATTGATATTTGTTTTAATGAAGGCTTTAAATTCATATGAATTAATTTAAAGTATTACTGAAAAGAATAAATCTGTACATGAAATGATCTATGAAATAATGAAATAATTCATTAATCTTTTTAAAGATTTCAACAAAAGTTCTAGTTTTCCAAATTGAATGATTTCGTTAATTATTACCTATGAAACTATGAAATAAAATTCAAATTTATAAAATTTTATGATTTTACCATTTATCTATAAAATAAAATTAAAATTTATGATACAATAAGTTAATAATCATATATATAATGCTCATATAATAATAACTCCTTTATATAACCTCATAAAAGTAATTATCTTTTGTAAGCGAGTAAATCTTTATACGAGGATATCAATTTAATGAAGGTTGACCATTTTTCTTTCCTTTTGGGAGGTAGATATATTCTTGGAATGGTTTTATAAGCGATAAGAATAGAAACAATTTTTATATATATATATATATATATGTACTATTAATTAAATAATAGCAAATCTAATTATTATGATCCGTTCATTGTACAATTAGTACATTTTCTAATTTTTCAACAAAAAAGAAATTAATAGGTAATAATACTTATTTGCTTGAAGAGTGGCAATTTCAATGACACACATATTACATGCTTGACTTGTGTTTACTGTAGGTGTTCGCTGCTACGACGTGGACAGTAGTTACCGCTGTGGACCTTGTCCTCCAGGATATACAGGAAATGGAGTAACGTGCAAACCGGCCAATCGCTGTGCTGAGAATCCTTGTTGGTCTGGAGTCCAGTGCGTCAACATAGAGACATCTCCAGGATACATATGCGGTCCCTGCCCAACAGGCTTTCTCTGGCAATGGTACCGTCTGTGAAGATATTGATGAGGTAAGATTGCATTCTACTATTTATATAGTAAACCTTACTGAACCGTGGACGTTACGTCATTATATATTGTTTGTAAAGTAAAACGTGTGACCACAAAGTTTGGTAAAAAAAAAATGTGTTACATATAAATCAAATTAAAGAAGTGTGTATAATTTGTATAATTTTTGTTGGAATTAAAAGGAGGCATTAAAACAAATGCTATTTGGAAGTATTTTTACTACTACTTAATAAATAGCTAGATGAAGAAATTTCTTAAAAATGATGTTGGTTTTGGTTTCGACAATGACAGGTGTAACTCTTTAGAAGCAAAATTTCTCAATGCCTCTCAAAAAATGTCCTCTTTTTTTCTTCTTTTTGCATCAATTTCTTTAACAAAACATTCTCTGAGCCTGTTTTCGACAATTCAATTATCTTTGTTAAAAGAAAGGCAGTTCCTTCTGTTTTTCTATGCGGGTTTGGTTGCAGTGTTAAGCTAAATAAAAATAAGATTACGCAATAAACAAACAAACACCAACCAAGCTAAATTGAATTGAAATATTCATGTTGTTTTATTGAAAAAGTGGTTTTTTGATAATAATAATGTGAAATGTTTATTTAAATACAATCAAAAATGATTAATCAGTTTGACCTGAGTCAATCATCATATGCTTCAAATTCAACGTTATTCAGTGTTCACCGCGTTAAGAAGAAACTAATCATCCAAATTTTGACACCACAATTTGAACAAACTTCCCATGATTGGAATTGGAGGATTGCAACTGTCCTTCCCTCTTTATCCTTGTAATCAACTGAAGGACATTCCGACCTACGGATCTAACATGCAAAACCGTAGCCTAGATACAGTTAAATTTCGCTAGTTGTGTTACAAATTAAGGTCGCTTAGTACGAAAACTCAACGCTCTATTCACAAGATTGTAATAAAAAATAAAAAATAAAATATATATATATATTATATTACATTACTGCTGCCTGACGACCGAGTGATATAGCGCTCTGGCGTCGCGTGCAGTGGTGTCACAGGTTTCGGGTTCGAGTCCATGAATGCTTGTAGTGTGCCATGAATGTTTGTAGTGGTTCGGAATCCACTTTAAGCTGTTGGTCCCAGTCTACAATGACTGTAAGAGCTTTGGGCTTAGGCTGACAAACCTATCCCATAAAAAGAAAAACATCTGCCTTGAAATCTGCCAATAGGCAGACGGTCTTGGCCCACCCTGGGGCTGTTGCGCCACTGATGATGATGATGATGATGATCATATATATTATTTTTTAAAATATAAAAATATATAAAAAAAATATTATATACATAAATGCTTTATATCGAAAATGCTTTCATTGTATGCATAAAATTTAAAAAAAATAATAAAAATAAATAAATAAGCTCTACACTTTTAATTTCTGGTGCTTTACATCCTTACTAAAAGTTTATTATCCAATATACCTAAAAGACATTAATTATAATAAATCGCGAATATCCATTTGTATAAATTACAATTACAGAAAAATGTGTATCAATCCTTTGATAAACTCGCGTCATTGTATTTCTAATTGTGAATCCTTATAGCGTAATTCGAGCGACTATAAAGCTTTCTGTCTCAAGACTTACGGCCTAGGACGGGATTTAATGAATGTTCGGCAAAGCTAATAATGATGAGTTGTCATGGTGGCAGTGACAAAGGAGGAGATTTTCGAGATCCCTACTTAGCGCGCCATCTGGTGAGGCATCAGATAAAGGGAGATTGACAGGTGCGCCTCTCAGATTTTATAAATAATTCATTCGGCTTGAACTTTCAATGGATTAGATTTCACTCTGATATAATGCACTTGTTCTTCAAGTAAGGGGTCTAGGAAAGATTTTGGAGGGTACCACAGACAAAAAACAGAATTAAAAATGACCCCATTTTGTTTTATTTTATTTATTTTTTTCACGTTAAAAGATACCTTTCGGACTTTTTTGATATTTTTTATTTTATTCATTTTTATTTTTTTTTTTTTTTGTTTATATTATTGTTTTTTTACATTCACTTTTATATACTTTTTTTAGTTCTAGTGTTTATATAAATAATTTTTTTTTTTCAAGTAGGGTTTATTAAATGTATAGAATAAAAATGTAGACTCAATGGAATATTTTGAAATTTTTTATGTAGGGTGATGTAGATCTTTGGGGCGTGATGGCTGAGTGACTAGCGCTCTGGCCCTCGGTGACACAGATTTCGAGTTCGAGTTCCGGTGGTGCCATGGATGTTTGTAATGGTTCGAATCCACTTTAAACTATAGGTTCCGGTCTACTATGATTGCAGAGCTTTGGGCATGAGGATGACAAAAATATCCCATAAAAACAAAACATCTCCTTTTCAGAAATCTGCCAATAAGCAGACGGTCTTGGCCCACCATGGGGCTGTTGCGCCACTGATGGTGATGCAGATCACTTGAGATTTTTAAACTTGAAGAAGGTGGTTAACACAAAACTGTTGTGCCTTATACCACTTTGTCGACATCAACATCTTGACCAGGTCTATGAACCAGTGTGTTCTCATGAAAGAGTGGGAGCTGCTTCTGTTGTGATGGAGTGCCCGTAGGTAGAATTTTAACTGGCTCTGTTACTCTGAAGGAAGAGGGCAGTGCCTTCCGGGAGAACTGGTATGAGAACATTGTATGAACCATTTGAGTGTCGTATGGGAGAAAACCCAGAAAACTCCCCCAGGTATTCCGACTCATGAAGCAAGATGCTGAACATCATAAACGCAATCGAGTCTCCTTGTTTTTTGAAACAATGTCTATACAATAAAGCTACCAGCTCATTGAAACACACTCAGCCCTAAGGCTCACTAGAAACACACATTGCCACTGAGCCGCGAGTCAGACACACAAAAATTTGTATAAAACTAATGACATAAGGCACACTTCCTAAAATTGGGAACTTTAGTTTGATGTTAAATTTATCAGAAAATTGCTGTCGGTTCGTTATGAGAATGTATATTTTATATTGATTATATTTTACATTCTTTTTAAATCTAATAAATGTTATTT